GGAGCGGTGGTCTGGGGCGCACCAAGGATGATGGACAGTACGGTGCCAACGGTGACGGCATCACGATCGAAGATCAGGGGGGGGGGAGGGGGGGGCGGGAGCTTGTTCAGAGCGCCAGCCATGCTGTCGGGGGGGGGGGGGGGGGCGTGTGAGGCGAGGCGATCCGGCTTTGAGGCAGGCAGGAGCAGCAAGATGAAGACCCCATGCAGGGAAAAGGGCAGCCGATTGTACCTGTGCGTTGTCGAGGAGGTACAGCGGATGCACCAGATCGAGCAGTAGCCAATGAAAAAGGACATGGCACCACTGGTGATGATCCAGAAGAGGCCAAGGCCCCAGTCCGGGCGCTTGCTGTGGGTAGCGTGAAAGCAGCAGCAGCAGCAACAGGAGTGTGTGTGTGCGTGGAAAGAGGAGCGTGAGAATGGGGGAGGGCTGGCATCTTGGCATGTGGGGACGGTAGGTAGGGCGAGGCGCGTACAAGAACTCCACGACGGCCGGGAACTCAAGCAGCAGACCACCGGTGGCCATCACCGGCCAGGAGAGCATGTTGTTGTAGAACACCGAGTCCAGGTCCGCAAAGCGAACCCGGGTGATGATCGACCGCAGGGAGAGCGTGTACACGGCCGACGCCAGCCCATTGGAAATCATCCACGAGTAGCCGACCAGATCGAAGGTCAGGTCGGTACCGGCAGCGGCGATCGCAGAAAACACCTAGGTATGGGCGGAGGGGGGGGGGGGGGGGGGGGGGGGGGGGGGGGGGGGTGCTTGATGCTAATAATGCTGATGATCGGCCCCTGCCTGGGAGGGCTCTTGAGATCTGGTCCCTGGGGCGGGCCGGGCGCCGGGGAAGCACGGCCGTTGGAGCTGGCGGACCCGGGGAAGCGCCCGGATAACGGCGGCTCGGGGGGGGTCAGTGGGTGCGAGTGGCCATCGGAGACATGAGGGAGGCGCACCATCAGAGCAAAGCTAACCAACATCATCGGGGTGACCTTCGAGCGGAAAATGACCTTCTCGCCGTAGGCCACGAAGATGATGGCCTGGATTGGATGAAAAGTGGAGCCCGGAGGGCGGTAGAGAGAGAGAGAGAGAGATGGAAAGGTCAGCGGGGAAGTGGACAATCAAGGAACGGGGGAGACAGAGGGAGAGATGGGGAAGGAGGGGAGAGGGCAGCGGATGACTCTTCGTACCAGGTTCTTGAAGATGGTGAAGACATGGATGCTCAGATGCTGGAGGCTGGGGCAGGGGGAAGGTGTGACGAGTTAGCGGAGAGGCGGAGGGAGCGAGAGGGAGGGAGCCATGTGCACATGTGAATGCATGGGGCGGATCTGGGAGTGGCGATTGCACACCTCTTGGTGCCTGTGTAAAGCATAATCACCACAAGCAAGACCAGGGGCATCCCTAGGGGGCGGAGGATGGGGAGCAGGGGGTGGGGGGAGATATGGAGACGAGAGTCAGACACTTTTGAGGGCAGCCTGGCGGGGCAGTGGTGGGAATCAAGTACGCACAGAGTTTGACATGAGTCATGGTCAGGCTGCGGAAGTTGACAATGCCGAAGAACTTGGCCAGTAGGAGGAGCACCGTGCAGGTGAAGTTCTACAGACCGAGACGGGGGAGACGGGGTGAGCAGGCGATACGGACGGGGGGGGGGGGGGGGGGGGGGGGGGGGGGGGGGGGGGGGGGGGGGGGGGGGGGGGGGGGGGGAGCGAGAAGAGGGCGCCAAGAGGGCCGATGGCGGACCTGCGTCGCCAGGAGCGTGAGGTGGAAGCCGTGAACATAGCGCGCGACGACCAACTTGTTCAACAGGGTCATCAGGATGGAAATGATGAAGTAGCTGGCCAGGGCGACCGCAGGCTCGATCTTCCCCCAGGCCGAGGCCGAGGCTGGGGATGACAGGTTCTTGGCCATGATAGGGGGGGGGGAGGGCGGAGGGCGGAGGGCGGAGGAGAGGGCGGCGGAGACTGAGGGGCGGCGACGGGACGGGAAGAGGGTTGGGGGAGGGGACGGGAGCCAGGCACAGCAGATTGGGAGGCAACCCGACCAGTGACTGTGTCGGGCGGCTGAAAAGATGCGCCGACCACTGTAGATCCCAACGGAGTGTGTCTTGGCCAGGCCATCGAGGGGGCCGCGGAAAAACAGCGAATTTTGTGTTCATCACGCGCCCGGGGTCATGAGGCAGGAATGCGGTGGCCGTGGGGGGGGGGGGGTATTTGTATTTATTCTCAAGGACAGGAAAAGAGGGGAAAGGACCCCGCGATGTTTGTGCGTGCGAGGAGGGCCGGGGAGACAGGA